CTCTGTAAAAAGCTACAATATGGGGACAGTAAAAGGATCAGGGTTGCCAGGGCTTAAAGGAGTAGGCAAAGCAGAGGATTTTGGGGGCAGTGAAATCACTCTGTATGACACTCGACAATGGTGACATGTCATCACACATCTGCCCCAACCTGTGGGATATACAACACTGAGAGTCAGCCCTAATATGAACTACAGACCTAGGGCAATAATGACGTGCCAGCGTAGGTTCGACTGCAACAACTGCACCATGCTCGTGGGGGTGCTGGTAACTGGGGAGGCTGTGCATGTGGCGGGGGCGGGCGCAGGCGCCATATCAAGAAATCTATGCCCCGGCTGGCATGGCTCAGCGGGTTGAGTGCCAGCCTGAGAAACAGAAGGTCACCAGTTTGATTCCCAGGCAGGGCACAGGCCTGGGTTGCAGGACAGGTCCCAGTTGGGGGCATGCGAGGGGCAACCAACTGATGTTTCTCTCCCTTTCTTTCTCCCTCCCTTCCCCTCTCTCTCTAAAAATAAATAAATAAAATCTTTTTTAAAAATTAAGGTAAAGGTAAACTGAAAGTAGCAGTGTGAACAGGTGTTTATAAGCATGTGTACACTCTCACATCTATGTATTTCCCAGTATTTCACTAAAATGGAACAACATAACTAATTCTCAACAAAAACAACATGATATTCATCCCAGAGCTTGGATTTTTATCTCTAATACCACTCCCTCCACTAAAAAGAACTAGGTGTCCTTACAGAGTAGTTGATTTCACATCTTGGGGTAGAAAGAATGAAGAAATGGGCTTAAAAATGTGGTTTCCAAAAAACAACGGGCCTTGAAACACCTGGAGATGACATTCGCAAAGGGCTCCGAAGCCAGCAGCCAGCAGCCAGCCAAAGGGGCTCCCGCTAGCCGCATCGTGACAACTTAAACAGCTAGCAAAAATGAATTACAATTAGCTAAGTTATAATTAACCGTTGCAATTACCTGAAACAAGTTTAGGAAGCCTTGATCACACAATGATTCTCACAGAGAAGTGGAGTCCCTCCTCTCACGTAACTAGCACTTCGGTCAAGTTCATTTGGTTCGTAAAGGAAAACACAGAGACCGCAACTGCCACCCCGGCAAGCGAAGACAGGACGTTCCCAGCAGTCAGAGGCAGCGCTGGCCCCGGGGGTCTGTCTCATGGCCTCCGACCACCCCGGGGGGCCATTCGCACGGCGCCCGCCCTGCGCGGCGCTCAGTCCTGCTCACAGGAATAAACGCCTTTCTATTGCTTTACGAGATGAGTCAAGACATGGTTTCACAGGGATAAGAGGCCTTCCGATAAACCCCGGGCACAGAGAAGATAAAGCCTTGCAGCTGACGCGAGCGTGCTTTTAAGGCGACTGGAAATGGACGGAACTCCTCTTTGCGTGGGCTTGCGTGCAGGTTGGTAGTTGTGGCAATTGTTCTTTATCCTTTTCTTTGTCCTGTGTGTTCACTAAAAGAACCGGACAAAAGTCTTCCCATGGACAAAGACTTGCACACTTGGCTTTACTTCACTTTAATACCAAAGGCCAGGTAAGAAACACGTCACCTTGCTTCCGTGAAAACCGTTCACTCAACTTCGTTTGCCTTGATGTCTCACAGGAGTGTGTGAGAAAAGAGTTTCTTGATGGGGCTTACCGCTCCTCAGGTAAGAAACATCCAAGTCCCCGAATGTCAGTTTCTTGGTGATGTTCCACGCAAAGACGACCCACAGCCTGCCGCCTGCGAACGGCGTGTGAGCGGTGCGCTCTGCGCTAAGCAGGAGGCCGGGACGGCGGCGGGCACCGGGGCCAGGGCCGGAGCTGGGGCTGGAGCTGAGGACGTGGCCGGCCAGGCGGCTGGGGCCGGGTTGGCGGGACAGCCTGAAGATCGTGGACTTGGGGTTTTATTTTCAGTGTCGCCGGAGGCTTTGGATGGCTGACAAAAGGGAAGCAGAATACTCTTCCTCTGGGTTTGAAAAGATCACTCTGGCTCTTACGTGGGGTGACAGGAGAAGCAGTGAGAACAGAAGGTCCTGCAGCCGTCCCCGCAAGTGGTGGCGGCCAGTTCTGGAGGGAGCGCAAGGGGGGAGGGACGGCGCGCCTGCTACCGTGATTGCGTACACGCTTGCACACTCGCGGCGGCGCGGTGGCGCAGTGGCGGGCTCCCGGCAGCGCCGCCCCACACGCATGAGTCCTGCGTTGCGGAATGACGCTAGGGCGGCTGCGGCGCCACGGAGCGGTGGGGACTTTTCGGCTCCAGTATGACCCTAGGGACCACCGTTTCACGTGCCGCCTGTTGTTGACTGACACACTGTTATGCGACTGTAATTTTAGCCTGAACCACACGAGACGTCACTTACTGAGGTGGCGACCCTGAAAGAGGAGGTTTCAGGGTGACAGGGACGAGTCCCACAGAGGCCACACTGACTGTGGGACCCTCTCCGCACATACGAGCGACGTTAAAAAGGGGGCTGAAGATACAGGTTGTATGCAAAGCAAGAAAAGAGCTGGTAGTATAACTTTTTTGGTCACCAGAACACAGGTAATATTTAAAGTAACTAAACCGAATGAGACCGCTTACAGAACGAGAGGACGAGCAAAAGAGAATGGAGAGAGACCCGTGAGGCCGGAAGAAAACGCAGGAACGCGCTGTCCTGAAAGCCGTTGGTTTGTTTTTGGTTTCTATAAAGAGCTCCCTGCTGACACAGGCGAGCTGCCTGGAACGACCCTGCACGTCCAGGCGGACATGGGCCCCTGGGGCCGCGGCGACACGGACAAGGACGGTTCCAGCCGGGCCGGAGAAGACAGCCTGGCGACAGCCGGAGCATGACAGCGTCAGAAGCAAGACGCGACCACGAGAATGGCGACGCCTGCAAGGGTTTCTGCCATAAACATGGGCACAGAAGCCATACGGCAGCTGAAAAGGGCTGTCTGGTCAAAGGAAGTTGTCTGGGTTTCAGAAGGGGACCCTGCAGGTATGCAACCACTCCTGGCGATGCTTTGCGGAGAGGGCGACACGTGACGCCCAGGAACACGGAAGGTGCGCAGTCCATGTCAGATGAAGGGACAGGCTCCAGGGCGAGGGCTGGCCTCGGTGAGCCGGCAGCTGCAGGGCGGGGGGCCGCGCGGGCGGCGGCGCAGCAGGGACGGCTTGGTGCGGGTGAATGGGGAGCTTCCTTCCCAGGGGCTTCTAGTCTTTTCTCATTTAAGTAATAAGCAAGATCATGGCCTGAAGAATGAAAAAAGTGGGAGGCGGTACTGGAAGTCTGAAGAGAAGCAAAGGGGCAAACGAATCCTCACTGCTGAGGGGAGAGAGAGTTTCTGAGTAAAAGCAGGATGAGGGGAGGTCAGCGACCATGGCCCGCCTGAGGCCCAAGGGCCTACATTTAAGAGGACACCCGTCAGAGCATGGCTCTGTCTTCCCGGCAGCTAAGCTGCAGAGCTCGGGCGCTGTTACGAAGGCACAATGGCGGGCGGTGGCACAAGGGCGGAGGGGGCATGAGAGAGTGACCCCGGGGACGGGGCAGAGCATCTGAGCCGGAGAAGGGGGGCGACGCACCCCAACGGCCGGGTCGCACTGGGCTGGAGGACGCGGCACGGTCGGCGTGGGTACTGGAGACAGTGAGCAGTCAGAGGGGAAGACGGTCAAAAGTGAGGCTCTGGGAGTGCAACAGCAGTCGTCCTAGTAAGCAACACAATGACAAAGGCTAACACAGGCCCTGGGGACAAGCGGCTGAGGCGGGTCGGAGAGCACGGTTTTGAGGGAACCAAGGAGCCAGGACGCCTGGAGAATGAGCAGGTTATTCCGCAGGTGACAGGAGAGGCGACAGGAGACAGGTGCAGAGGGCAGCAGGGAGGCAGCACCCCGCCCTCGGAGCGCGCGGCACGGGCTCAGGCGGTGCAGCCCGAGGGGCCTGTGGCCTGTCTGAAAGCGCTGTTCTAGAGAAACTTGAAACCATTATGTTGAAAAGTGTCACTAAAACTTCAGAGACTTTCACTAGGAAGCAACAGAAAAAAAATAGATACGGGGAAAAAGATCAGATGACAAGGAACTGGTGAGGAACCTATATAAATTTGAGTTTAAAGTAATACGGTAATAAATGTGCACCGGAGGGTGAGCCGTAGCATTCTGAACCTCTGGGCTTCACCCCATCACGCTGCCTACTTAGACCCTGCCGGAAAGACAGATGAGAACTACAGACTATTCAAAAGCTTTCCAAAAATCATAACCATGTGACAGCAACACACATGACACCAAAAGCATTTTATGGAAAATTATATTTTAAAAGAAACAGCGCTTTCTAACTTTTCTCTAAAAACTGTACGGCACCCTGTAAGCATCAAGAAGACGGTTGTGACTTCAGAGAACAAGCCTGTCACCATACTGTGACAGGCTGTGTGCTAGAGACACGGCTGTGAGAGACCGCCTTGCACACAGCCTCGAAAGGCCACAGGACACCTCACCTCTTTGACAACTTACCAACCAAATCATTAACTTTGTGTAAATTCTGAGAACTACTTTGGACAGCCCACTCAATCTACTTTTTGCAGGCACACAGCGCGCATGAGCTCATTTAAGGCCCCGGAAATCCAACAGGCCACAAGGTACTGGTCTGGCTTAACCCAGCCACTTCACAATATTATTCACTAACAGAACATATTTTTTTCCCCTCACACATGTAATAACACAATAAGCTTTAAACAAACTCTTCATGGTCCATAAGCCAGAAATATACTGTGAGCTGTCACACTAGTGACCTGGAGTTACTGTATATTCCAGTTTTAATTTCCTTTAATTAAACATTTCTCTACAGGTATTAAATAATTTCTACTAACTCAGATGTGTGGGGGGGAAAAGAACTCAGTTTTATCACTTTGGCAAACTCAGCTTTTTCACTCCGTCACAACTTACAAACTATTTCACATAGGAAATTTTAGAACTCAGCATACAAATGCTAACTGTGCAAATTATGTACATTTTTGTAATTTTATTGTTTTGATACCTGTTTCCACAACACTTTCTGCTTCTGCTGTCTCCAGCCCGTCCATGCTATCCTCATCTTCCACTGCAGTTTTTCCTCTACTCCGAGGCCTACAGAGAAATAAATACACAGCGTTAAGTGTTACATGTTACGGCTTAGAATGAAACTCAGTATAAAGCACCAGTTGAAGGTACACAAAAATATAATAATGTAGGTAACTTTTCTAACATTTTACCAGATTAAATAGTACAGTAACACTTCACAGTCATTGCCCTCGAATGCAGATGTGCCTTCCCCCGCCCATGAAGACAGGCCCTGGCCGCTCCGCTCCGCCGGGCGGGGCGCAACACGGGTGTAGGAACTCACAGTACAATGTGAACATTTCACCTAAAATGCCATCTGCCGTGCCTGACTGTGATGCTGTTATAGTACAGAATAACATGCGTATGATTTTGTGATAAATGATTTCACAATAAAAAAGGGGCGTTATTTGTGCCACACCCTGTATTTGTGTCATGTATCATCATAACTCCTTTCATGACTCTACATTTTAAAGATTTTTTATTTATTTATCACTTATTTTTAGAGAGAGAGGGAGGGAGGGAGGGAAAAAGAGAGGTAGAGAAATGTCAATGTGTAGCTGCCTCTCGCCCACCCCTTACTGGAAGGCTCAGCCCAGGCCTGGGCCCTGCCTGGGAACCCAACCAACAACCCTTCGGTTCGCAGGCCGGCGCTCAATCCACAGAGCAGCACCAGCCAGGGCCTGGTTTCAGGCTCTGTCCCTCTATGAGCTAACCTCTGCGGTCCTGGTTCTGGACCACCTAGTGGGTTCTTTCCAAAGTTCACACTCCAGGTTACACCGCTATATCTAGTGAAATTAAGGAGTGACGCCCAGATATATGTGTTTTTAAGAAAATGATGCACACCCCTGTGAACCACTCAAAGGAAAGAAATTCTAAATATTAAGCATGATCTTGTCATATCCACTGTGAAAGTACAATGAAATTTACTCTATAAACACTTCAATGAATTAAATATAAGATTCATGGTAAAGAGAGATTCTTGGACCCAATGCATTTAAAAATAAAAACTAATGCCTTTAAACTTTTTCATGTCTTGAAAATAAGGAATAGAGATGAGTCAAAAAATTAAAACACATAAAATAAGAATAATCATGACATTACATATAAAAAACTTAGAGGCTGACAGAGCAGTATTCAGATTTCAGCACATTAAATTATTCATTACTTAAAAAGATACATACGAACACAGTATTTAGTCGAAAAACATTGAAGAAACAGAAAACAAGAAATAATGGCTTAATATGAAAAAATAAAAAGGTTTGTTTTAAATAGGGAATCCATTTAATCTTGCTTTAAAAGGGGCTCTCAACACTTAAAACCAATAAAGCAGATATAAGACTTTTTCAAAAAGATCCAAGTCCAAATGGTTTATAAATGAATTATTGCAAATTGTCAAAAAGTCATCTCTACCCGCAAAAACAAAACAAAAAACACCTGAACCAAAACCCTAACAAATATAGCCAAAAAATATGAATAAAATAGCTAAATAAAATCAGAATACAGGTTTAATATTAGAAATTCAGCAATAAAACATGCCAGATGAAACATCATTTGAAATTTCATGTGAGGAGGGGAAGAGAGGCAGAACTAAGTAAGAGACTACAAAAACTTAATGTCAACCTTATAAACTAAAACTAAGTTCCTAAAATAATATAGAAGACTAGTAGTAAAGCCCCATGGGGGTAAGAAGACTGAAAATCGCCCTCCAGACATAGACTAGAAAACCAGACAAAATAAAAGAAACGGCATTACCAGGCCGTGGAGCACAGGCAAGGCAGCCCTGGCCGCCACCCAGAGCAGGCGAAGCAGGCGAAGCAGGCGGGCGAAGCAGGCGGGCGCTGCAGCGCCGAGGCCGCCCCTGTGGGGCTCCCAGAAGCTGCTGCCGGCAATGGGCTCAGTGCTCAAAATGGGGAGACAGAGACCATCAGTCCAGGAGGCTACAAATTGAGACAGAATCTCTGTGCTGTGCAGCGAAAAGTGCTGCAGAAGCCTGCATACGGGCACCCAAGAGTTTTTACCTGGATAACAGTCTGTGTAATTCGTGGTGTAAAGCCCTACAAGGCGGAACAGGAATGGCGTCCAGGAAAGAACAATAGGGAAGGGCTGCACACAACCAAGTCCCAGGGCCCTCGCAGAGCCGGCATTGGGAGGCCTCACTGAGCACATACAACGCGCTCAGCAGGACCTCGGTGGGCCGCTCCATCAGGAGCAGGGCTGACAAATGCTATTCTAGACCTAGAACAGCTAACAGATAAGTCTCAACAGAGGCAAAATGACCCACAACCAACGTCGCTGCCAGGCAAGGAAAAAAGTTGAACACTTACTAAAGCATTATAACAAAACCTAGCTCTCAGCAACAACAAAAAAATCACAATATGTGGCATCCAATAAAAATTTACAAGGTATAAAAAGAAGCAGGAAAATGTGAGTCATAATGAGTAGAAAAATCAAGGAATAGAAACAGAAAATGACAAGGATGATAGCAAGAACACAGCTGGACATTAAACTAACTGTTATCAATGTGCATCATATACTCAGGAATGTAGCAGAAAATGAATATGCAAAGAGAAATGGAAGATATTAAATATAAACAAAATGGAGCTCATAGAATTAACATCAAATTTCACTTTGAGAGATTAACATCTAATTAGAAGTGGCAAAAGAAAAGATATCTGACCTTAATGACATAGCAAAAAAATAAAATGTACCCGAAATTAAAATACAAAGTGAAAAAGGACAAACAGCTATAGGTGGCTGTATTGCTGAATTCTAGCAAACATTTAGGAGATAATACTAATTATACACTATACTCTGGATGTACTGGAGGAAGGAACACTTCCCAACTCCTTCTATGAAGCTGGCATTACACTGACAGCAAAATCAAAAAAACATAAACAACATCTTATCACAAACCACAGACCTGTTGCACAGAATTAAAAAAAGGAACACTCTGCCACCCGCTTTCTCCAGATATTACAGTTTGTCATACCAAATCAAAACAAGGAAAATGCAAGAAAACAAATTACAACCTGTTTCTCACTTTGAAACACACACACAGTCCACAAGCAAGGGGCTCCGGCTTGAGATATGATGGAGAAGTACACGCTCAAGGTTTTCTCCTACTGAATGAACTATAAAACGTGGCAATAATGAATGGAACAACTGCTTGGGTTTCCTTAAAAATACGTAGCACCAGGATGATCCAAAACAAACACAAAAATGCCAAGTACTGACAAAAGGTCACTGACTTGACTACTGTCCCTCTCTAGCATCCCCAGTACTGAGGGGACTCAATGCAGCCTGGAACCCTGGTGAGGATGCCAAGGTGCAGAAAGAGAGCGCACGCCCAGCTGGCCTGCAACTCGCCTGTGGGTGGGCCCGGGTGGGCCCGCCCCAAATTGGTACCACAGAGACCTTCAGGCCTAGGCTGACTGACCTCTGGCTGGTCCCCGGCTGGCCACTGGGTGCTGTGCACAGAGAGGCACTGCAGAGACACCTGTCACAGGCCCAGGGGACAAGTGGCCATTTTCTCCTTGGCTTCTTGGACATAGCACTCCCCTGACACTCCTTCCACATCCTTCCTTCCTTTTCACTGACGCCTGCGTGGAAGGACAGGCTCTTCTCCACACACGGAGGCTCACGCCCGCAACCCGTCTCCTGACGCGCGTGCTGTTAATGCCCAAATTCCCCCTCCCCTCCCCTCCCCTGCCCACTGAATCACATACAACTCACCTCTAGCTGTCGACTCAACATCTCTACTTGGAGTCAAACAAGCTTGTCAAAGTTCACAGGTCAAAAACCAAGTCTGACTCCGCACCGAGCCCCTGAAATTTGCCCTCCTCCAGGGTTTCGCACCTTGGGGAGGCGTGGCGCCAACCAACCGCCCAAGCCGCTCGGCTCACAGGGCGAGACCCCCCCTCACAGCCCGCCCCACAGGGCCTATCAGCAAACCCCACTGTCAAGAGGTACTTTCAATACGAAAGCCTCTCTCCGGTCACACTGTGAACAGCCTGATGCCACCATCGTTTGTTTGTTACTGTTACAACTGGGAACTATACAACTCACCTTCACTGCGTATGTAGTGTGCGAGATGCACTCTTACTTGTTACTGTCTCTATTTACAGATGAATAAAATGGAGCTTAGAGAAGACGACGAACATGCCCAAATTTAGCAGGTCTAGCTCCACAGCCGCTATTCTTAACCACTGGCCGCACTGCACGTGTGGCCCCTGTTTCCGCTGTCACCGATGGACGGCTCTCCAAACGATCAGAGTGGCCTTCTAAACCCTTACATCGAATCAGGCCGCTTTCTACCTCTCAATCCTCCCACGGCTGCTCTCCACCCCCGGAAGGGAACCCCACGCACGCGGCCTTCGCGGCGGGGCCATCCTGGTTACCGCTAACGGCACGTGCGGACACACGCCTGCCTCCACACCCCCGCCCTGCTGCGCTGCGCGTTCGTGAACACGCCTCAGACGTTCCACTTCTGGGCCTTTGCACAGCCACCTGCTGCTTTGTCAAGCTGGCATGAAATCTCACTACCGCACCCCTACACCTCCCAGTCCCGATGTCACACAGGCGCTTGGAGCGCAATGAACAAAGAGGGAAAGTATAGATTCAATCGTGAGCATGGAGAGAATGCCTCACCATTCTAAAGATGCTCATCATAGTTATGCTTCCCACTGAGCACAAAAATAAAATTTCACGGGGGGTCCAATTTTAAAAGAAAGCCATGTAACAAAATATTGAATATTATGTCACTAAGGTAAATTTAAAAAAGTTTAATTTATTAATTAAATTAATAAAGTTAATAAAATAAAAGTTAAATTTAAATAAGAAGTTTTAACACCAGAAGGTAATAGACAATATTGTCACCATTAGCAGATAACATCACCAACATCTACTTAGAAAATACCAGTTAACCTACTGCAAAGCTAGAAGAGTTCTGTAAGGCTGTCAGATCAACATAGTAACATAAACATCCACAACTTCCCTACACATCATGCTGAACAAATAGCAGCAACAAT